ATTTCGCCTTTATTTCGGACTATTTCGGGGGAAGGTGTACGAACTATTTCGCAAGTGATTTCCCCCTCGTCGCCCTCCTCCTACTCCCTTTGCCACGGCAGGGCACGGGCGGGGCGGGGCCGTCCGCAGATACCGGCGCTGATAAAGGCCGCCGTGTTGGTGACTGTGACCGTGTGGAGTGCGGCGCAGAGCACGCCGAGCTGCCGCTGCTGCTGCCGATGCACCGCCCGGTGGCTTTATAATTCACTGCCACTATAAAATAATTGACGTTATCACGGGATCGCGTCATACAGCCCGGAGTGTGCGGGAGGGCGGCGAGCGGGAGCCGAGGAGGTGTTCTGGGTCGCAGTATCTCATGGCACTGCAGACAATGCGTGCTCGCGCCTCATGACCCGTTGTTGCGGTGGTGGGGTGGGGCGTGGCGCCGCCGCCGAGCAGGGCCAGCCAGGCCAGCCGCGCCGGCCATGGGCGCCTCCATCCGGCCTACATTGATACGGTTATCGCCGGCCAGGAGGAGGCCGACGCGTCGCCCAAGGAGGCCGACGACGACGTTGGTGCACTGCCTTACCTTGATCATCCCCGGCGGCTGGAACACGGGCCGGGTCGACTGCGGCGGCGGCCGGCGGGACGGCTGTTGCTGCAGGTGCTGCTGCTGCCGGTGCTCGATGACGGCCGTGTGGGCCACGCTGTCGTGGACGCGAACCTGGTCGGCGCCCACCTCGCGCGCCTGCTCCGAGTCGCTCGAGTCGCCTGCAAATGACGGAGAGGGTTCACGGTCAGCTGCTGCTGGAGACCTGAACGCGTGGGTACTCCGTGGCGGAGACGCCCCGGACGCCGCCGTGGCTAGACTGCCCCGCAACGCACACGTGCAAGTGGGTTGCCTACTTTCTGGCCGTAAGGCGCCCTACGGTACGGCAAGGGAAGAGGCGATTGGCCGCGATTGGCCGCGATTGGCAAACAGTGAGAACAGCAAAGTCAGGAAAAGTTGACCCCAAAATTTTTGGATTGTTTTGATTACTATTTGTATAACAGTGAAGTGGGCGGGGCGGTGGACTTGTGCCTCGTGGCGAGGCTAGGAGAGACCAAGACAATGTGCGCGGATGGAGTTCAGGATCTCCCCCGCCCACGCGCAGCTGAAGGGGCGTTGAGGCAGCCATAGGAAATGCTATAGTACTGGTCAGAGACGTCTGTAATCTCTCTCTCCCATCGTCCGCGACTCACCGACTCACCCTTTGCTCGTCTCCACCCTTTTCTTCCTCAAAAAGCAGCGCGTCTTGGCGTCCTGAGCATGTGTGTCTGTGCATGTGTGTGAGTGTGAGTGTGTGTGTGTGCATGTGCGTGAGTGTGTGTGTGTGTGCATGTGTGTGTGTGCATGTGTGAGTGTTCATGTATGTGTGTGTCAGGCGTGAGGTGCGCTCGGAGGTGCACGGCTCGGGTGCGCAGGGCAGCACTCCGTGGTGTCGGGTGACCCCCAGCAGGTGCATCCCTACACCGGACACGTCGCGTGGCCGGGAGGGAAGGGGGGCGGGGAGCGCGAGCGTGTCACGCCTGGCGCAGCGGAGCCGGACCGTGAAGTTCACAAAAGCTTTAAACTTGTTTGCTTAAAGGGGGGGTTGGCGCGGCGGCGCGGTCGGGCGCGTCGGCGGCTATGAATAACTGATAGCAACAAAGCTGGTGTGTTTTTCGCAAATTGGCCGTAGACGCGCGGGAGACAGCTTTCAAGGGAAACAATGAAGCTGTTGGGAACATTTGCGGCCGGCGGCGGCTTTTAGCGTCCGGCGCGGCGGGAGGCGGCGGCGGCGGCGGCGCGGGGGCGTCGCTGCGGGAACCGGAAATGAAGAGTGTCGGGCAAAACGCAAAAGCGTTCGGCCGCTCCGGACAGGATAGTCTCAGTCGGGACACAACGTC